GAAGTCCTGGAAGAAAACCATGGTCCCCTGGGCCTCGTCCTGCAAGTAAGTTTTGAAAGATCCCCGGGACGTGGCATTGGCCGCATCAAGCACCACACGCTTCAACTCTGACGAGGAGGGAAGAGCGAGGTTGGCACTAACGCCAGGCGCGCTGGCATCCTGCTCACGCGCGCCACCAGACTCACGAGCAGGTCAGGGGCCTGTGCAAACAGGAGTAGGCGACGCCGGAGGTGACGCGGACTTCGTAGTAGATGATGGTTGCGCCGCCCCTGCCGACGGCGACTGGACAGGATGACAGGGTTGCTGCGCAAGTGGAAGAATCGGAGCGACCGATGATGCCGAGGTCGTCCGCGTGCTGCATGGGAATATGGGGCAATCTCGGGCTGCCCCCAACCTGGTGCGGTAGTCCACGTGGAAGAAGTATTGCGAGGCAAGCCGCACCGCGAACATGCGGCGCCCTCTGCCTGCCATACTCGCAACGATTCCCTGCCCCAGGGCCCCACTAGGCGGTCCCAGCGCCACGGGGACGCTGGCCTACCTAGGGCTTCGTCTGGGGGGGGTCTCAACGGTCACTTGGCAGGTGAGTGCGGCGACCAAGTCGAGGAGTCGAAATCCAAGTCCCGAACGTAGTCGCCCACTGCCGAAGGCTGCTAAAGTCCTGACTGCGAATGACCAGGTTCGACTGTATTTCTTGAAGCTGCGAGGGCCGTGTCGAACCGCACCCTGTGCTCCGCAGCGCCCATAGCATCCACTGGGCGTCTCTCGGCGGTCGAGTCCTGGGCGATGCCGCTGGCCTGGGCCACAGCAGCTGCCGATGGGGCCATGGGGGTCCTCGGGCCAGGGGCAGCAGCAGGTGTGGCCGCAGGGGCCTCGGCGGCCGCGGGGGCAGCTGCCGCTGCCGCGCCTGGGTGGCAGGCGCGCCGCCGCCAGCGGCATCTCTGTCGCCCTCGTCGTCATCGCCGACCTTGCGGCGCTCGAGCTGCATGCGGGCACGGAAGGCGCGCTGCTCGTCGACCAGCTCCTTGGCCCTCTGCTTGACCTGGCCGAAGGATTCTGCAACTGCCCGCTTGATGGTGTCCTCGACCTCCGCCTTGCGCCGAGCAACCTCCTCACGCTCGCGGTCAGAGAGCTCCACGCCTTCCGCCCCCAGCCCGAACAGGTCGTCGTCAGCGAAGATCTCCACTGGAGCACGTTCGTCCAGTAGTCGCTCCAGGCTGAGGCCGCGGGTACGGGGCGCGGCTGTGGGGGCCGCCGCCGCGCCCGCACCCTCTGGGGGCACATGCTCCGCCAGGCTACGCACGGCCTTGTGGCAGTTGGCTTGGCACTCCTCGAAGTCAGACAGGGCGTTGATGGCTACCTGCTCCGCGTCGTGGAGCTGTTGCTTGAGGGACTCTGCAGCACGCACTTTCTTGTCCAAGAACTTCTTAGACTCCCGCATGGCGTGCTGAGCAGCCCCCACTCTGTGGGGCTTGGGCACCGAGGCCATCTGCAGCTGGCTGGCGTAGCGGTTGTACAGGTCTGCGCTGTACTTGTCGCCGATGCGCTGGAAGTTTGCAGCCAGGCTGAGCAAGACTGGCACGTCATCCTTGGAGTAGTTGGTCCAGGAGTGATTTGCGGCCGAGCGGAGCCATCCCAAGTCGCCCAGCTGGAGTCCAGGCGTTCTGGGCTCGGTCGCTGACTTGCCTGGGCCAGGTGGCTGCGAAACTGGTGGCTGGCCGTCCACTTGTCCCTTGCCTTTGCCCTTGCCAGACTTGCCGCCCTTGCCGCCCTTGGTGTTCTGGGAGCCGCATGCGCCCGCGGTGCCGCCGTCGCCCAGTGCGTAGATGGCGCCGATGGGGGGCCTGCTGGCCCAGGCGCCCGAGGCCGCGGGGGGGGGGTGACGGAGCCACGGAGGACAATGGCTGCAGACAGTACTTGCAGAACCAGAAGTGCCTCTTGTTTTTCTTGCAGCCGCAGTGAGGGCAAGGGGCTTTGCTGAGCACCTCGCCGTCACGGTACCATTGCTGAGGCTCGCCCGAAGGCTTGCGCACCCAAGGATCACGAACGAAACTAGGGGCCATCGGCGAGCTGCAGCCAGGGGTTGACCTGGCTGGGACGTCGTTGCTCCTGCAGGAGCTCACTGAATGAACGCGAAGGGAAACAAACCTCGTCTGACAGGCAACGAGGAGAAACTGTGGGGGCCGTCCTTCCCCCTTGCCAAAACAGCCAAGTCCTGTGCCGAAACACTACGGACTTGAGCCAAAATTGCTACGGACCTCCTCCGACTCCTCCTCCTCTTCCTCCTCCTCCTCCTCCTCCTCCTCCTCCTCCTCCTCCTCCTCCTCCTCGGGCCAGACGCCCGAGCCGGCGCCCGGGCCGGCGCCAGGGCCGGGTCCGGAGCCGGTTCCGGCTGGCGCCGGAAAATCGAGCTCCGAGGCGGCGCCGAAAAAAGGCCATTCCAATACACATGTTTCTTTTGAAAATGCTGTATTTCTGCTTTTGGAGCCTCCCGGGCCAATTCTGGCGTGCTTCCGCTCGTTCCGAATCGTGCTCCCGCTGCAGCGCTGGCCTCATTTCCGCGCTTCCACTCGTTTCGACTCGTGCTCCCGCTGCAGCGCTGGCAACATTTCCCGTGCCATGCCACGGCATGCCATGCAATGCTAGGTTGATACTACGCTTCGCGGTGCTCTTCTACGCCATGCCATGCCGTGCTCTACAATGCATCGCGTACCCTTTCGGGATCATTGCCCTGCTCGACATTCGACTGTGCGAGTAGAGAGGGGATCTGCGCCATGGTAAGGGATGGGAGGGAGGGGTAGGATGTCAGATATGACGCGAGCGCACCTAGTTTGTCCTCCTCCTCCTCCTCCTCCTCCTCCTCCTCCTCCTCATCATCATCCTCATCCTCATCCTCATCCTCATCCTCATCCTCATCCTCATCCTCATCCTCACCCTCCTCTTATTCGACTTATATTAGTATTAGTAGTATTCTTCTTGTTAGTAGTAGTACGCTTCGTATTATTATTATTCGTGATGTTGTTCTACTTGTTATTATTAGGATTATTAGTAGTCGTGTTCTTCTTCGTCGTCTTATTAGCAGTATCAGTAGTATGGTTCGTCTTCTGATTATGCGCTGTCATTGTATGATTGTGATTACTACTACTAGTATCATTCGGTTTATTCTTATTAGTATTCATCGTAGTATTATTCTTCTTATTATGATTCTGAGTATCAGTATTAGTCGTAGTATTCCCTTTCTTTTCATATTGATATTATCATTCTCAATCGTACCATTCTTCTGATTAGCATTAGTACTCGTAGTATTCGTGTTATAGTTAGTAGCAGTGTTGATAGTGTTGGTATTGTTAATAGTCTTCGTACTAATAGCATTAACACGTTTCTTCTTAATAGTAGTAATAGTGTTCTTACTAGTAGTGTTATTAGTATGCTTCGTGTTAGTAGTAGTATTGGTCGTTGTTATGCGTATGCGTCTTATTCGTGTGAGTCTTCTTACTAGTAATAATACGATTATTATTTGTCTTATGATTAGGGGTATCACCATTATTACTCGTACCAGTCTTGTTCGCAATATTATTCGTATTTTTCGTAGTACTATTAGTAGTACTATTAATATTACTAGTAGTCGTGCTATTCCTCTTAGTGTTGGTATTCATATGTTTCTTCTTGATAGTAGTATTGTTCATGTTAGTATTGTTCTTCTTATGCTTCGCTTTTGTATTATTATGTGTTATTATTTGTATTCGTCTTATTCGTGCGATTCGTCTTATTACTATTCGTAGTACTATTAGTATGCTGATGTATCCTCTTATTATTCCTCTCCTCCTCCTCCTCCTCCTTCTCCTCCTCCTCCTCCTTCCTCCTCCTCCCTCCTCCTCCTCCTCCCCCCCTCCTCCTCCTCCTCCTCCACCTCCTCCTCCTCACCCTTCCCCTCCACCTCCTACAGCCCCTTCTCCTCCTCCTCCTCATCCTCCTCCTCCACATCCTTCTCCATCCCTTTTCCTTACAATAACTCATCCCTGTCGCACTCCGAGGCGTGTCGGTAGGGCGGGCCGGGCCTTTCATCTGACTTCCACACCACTTAGGATCCTGAGGTATACAGAGTGAAGCAGCTTCACGGATGGAATGCGGGTGATGTTTTAAAAGTTGCTCTCGCCTTAGCGCCGCGCACACTCGTCTTCAAGTTTGCACAAATTTCAAGGATGGCGGGCGGGCCGTTTTCAAAATGTAACCCTCGCCTGAGCGACGCGCACTTTGTTAGCACAAGCTTGCACGATTTAGGATTGTCAGAGCGCAACAGTCACGTTTATCAGTGGTGCTGAACTCCCGAAAATGCTGATTAACACCATGCCGCGTTTGCAGGGCGCAACAGTAACGTACATTCGCGGCGTTGAAGCCCCACGAATAATGTTCAGGCGCGATTGGGGATTCTCAGACGGTTGTCCTTCAACGGGGCATTTCCCGCAGTGGAAATAAATCTTGCAGGGGACAAGTGAAGAGGGAAGCTTGGAGGGAGGGTGAATTGCAACATCGTCGATGCGTCTTGGGTTTGCACTGGTCCTGATCATCCTCCTCCGATGTGGCCACTCGAAATGGGCACGGAAAAGAAGGGCTACGATGCCGTATTGCCCAAAGCCGACAGCGGCCGCTGTTGAGCAGGCGGCCTTTCTCGCAAGGACCTACGCCCGCGGCGGCAAGGACAACGAACCCTGTTCGAAACGGACGGGAACTGCTGTCAGTCTGCGGAGCCACGCTTTCCGTTCGGGGATGGATAGAACTCCCTTTAGTAAAACGTGGTTTAGTGAAAACGACCTCGGGCCCCAAGGTGGAGGGCGCAAGCCTGAAAAATGACGGCCGCGGCGCCCTCTCGAGAACCGACAACGGACAACTCACTGATCGACGTGTCGGGGTGGGGGTTCTGTCCAACCACCGATCCGTGCCTACTTCGATCGCACCGATCCTGGGGCCGCGGCGGCAAGAGCGGCAGCGACAGCCCGCCCGTCCGCGAGGCGGACGCGGAAAATCCCACGCAGGCCCGCCGCGTGAAGGGCGCCTCGAGCACGGGGCAACCCTTCGCGGGCGCGGCCACCCGCGCCTCGCGGGGCAGGAGGAGCAGGAGGCACCGGGAGAGGGAAGGGAGGAGGAGGGGGAGGAGGAGGAGAAGGAGGAGGAGGAGGGGGAGGGGGACAAGCTAGGTGCGCTCGCGTCATATCTGACGTCCTAACCCTCCATCCCATCTCTTACCATGGCGTAGATCTCCTCTCTATTCGCACAGTCGGACGTCGTATCAGAGCAGAGCATTACATGGCATAACATGGTGCTGAAGATCAACGCGTATCCTGACATAGCATGGCGTGGCGACGCCCCAAACGAATCGACAGCGAATCTGTAATCATTTCCGATAGTTGCTTCGGAGGGGCATTTTCTAGATTTGGGGGCCTACTTGGAAGGACCGATAACCATGCCGTGGCATGGCGCTGGAAATGATGACGACAGTGCTGCAGCGGGAGCCCGATTCGGAACGAGCGGAAGCGGGGTGATGAGGCCAGCGCTGCAGCGGGAGCACGATTCGGAACGAGCGGTAGCCCGAAAATGAAGCCAGCGCTTCAGCGAGAGCAGCATTCAAAAAATCAAAGCCAACAACAACAACAACAACAACAACAACAACAACAACAACAACAACAACAACAACAACAACAACAACAAGCAACAACAACAACAACAACAACAACAACAACAACAACAACAACAACAACAACAACAACAACAACAACAACAACAACAGCAGCAGCAGCAGCAGCAGCAGCAACAACAACAACAACAACCACAACAACAACAACAACAACAACAACAACAACAACAACAACAACAACAACAACAACAACAACCACAACCACAACCACAACCACAACCACAACAACAACAACAACAACAACAACACCAACAACAATAATAACAACAACAACAAAACGAGAACCCAACTCCCAGGAATCCTGTGTAAAAAACAATACCGAGAGGGGCGAATATTTCCCAGACGTCACCAGGGCAAAGAGGAGAGCAGTTTTCATATTGTGCAATTGTGGAGGAGGGGCGGGGAGGGGAGAGGAGGGGGAGGAGGAAGGGAGGGGGAGGGAGGAGGGGGAGGAGGGAAGGGAGGGGGAGGGGGGAAGGGAGGGGGAAAGGGGAGAAGGAAGGGAGGAGGGGGAGTGTGGAGTGGGGAGGAGTGGGCTGGCTGGCTGGTGGCCTGGAGGCAGACGGCGGGTCCCCCGGGGACGGGGCCTCGGAGAGCGCCCACCCGGCCCTGGCCCAGCGCCGCGTGAGCGGCCTCAAAGCTACATCACCCCACTGAAGGGGCCCTGGGACACACAAACAAATGGACACAAATAACAGGATTCCCCATAGTTTTCAATATTTGATGGGTTGTCGTCTTCCCCCCCACTTCCCATGTTTTCCCATATTTTCCTGGGGATCGGCGATTAACTGTGTCTGTGTGTGTGTGTTTTTTCCCCTCCTGACCCACCGCCATGCCGAGGGAGGAGAGGACGGGCCCTGGGAGGGAGGGAAAGCCCAACCTGCCCGGGCACGTCCCTCACCTCTCGACGACACGGCGCCGGGCAGGATGGGGCCCACGGCAGGGCACAACGAGGATCCACCCCCGGGCCCTCCCACCAAGCCCGTGCGACCTGCCGCAGCAGGGGCGGAGGGGGGCGGGATATGCGTCCTGGGGGCTACGATGTTCCAGCCTACGTTGGCCTTGACCGCCAGAAAAAAGTTCGAGCCACCAAGCAAATACCGGAATTCGAGGATTTTCGAATGTCGGGCCCTGGGAGGCGATGCTCGTCCGACACTGCTTCTCGACACCTTTCTGGGTGCTCGAGATCCTTCCTGGGATGTGGTCCTCAAGCACGACGGGAGCAACACGACCTGGGGGGAGGGACCTCCCAGGAGGGGGCCTGCCATGGCGGCCCTCCCTCGCGTGAGAGAAGACGAGGACAGCGAGCCTCGACGCCTCCAGCGCAGAGCCTCGGCGCCTCCACGCCTGGACGCCTGGACGCCTCGAGATCACGGCGCCTCAACGCCACGACGCCTCGGCGCCTCGGCGCCGCTACGCATCGATGGGGAGGGGGAAGAGGAGGGGGAGGAGGGGGAGGAGGAGGAGGAGGAGGAGGAGGAGGAGGAGGAGGAGGAGGAGGAGGAGGAGGAGGAGGAGGAGGAGGAGGAGAAGGAGGAGGAGGAGGAGGAGGAGGGAGAACACGACGTAGACAGAAGCTATCGGACGCCCGCGGATTTCGAGGGTCGGCGCTGGAACCCCTCCCTGCGCTCGGAACGCGCCGGGAGCTGCGCCGGAGGCGCCAGCACGGGGGCGCGCGGACTTCCCAAAGTTTCTGCGAATGCTGTTTTCTAGCGCCTCCTAGCCCAGAAGCGGGCCGCAGTGCTGTCCAGGTCCCACGCCCAGCTGGCCGCTTCCTCGTAGACCTGCGCGCCGGAGATGAGCGCCAGCAAGGAAGAGGCGCTCGGAGCCCAGACCCCTGGCCCAACGGCGCGGCGGAGCCGGGGCCGCAGGCTTTCCTTATCCTGACAGTGGGCAACGATGTGCTCCAGGGATGTGGCTGCTCCGATCCTGCCCAGATGCAGCATCGGCGCCTTGTGAAATGAGGACCACCAGATTGGTTCTGAGCCGGGCTAGGGACCGCCAGAGCGCCTGCTCAAACACGCCTGTCGGGAAGGCCTGGGCAAGGTCTCGGTTTCGCTCCCTGGTCTGGTGTGTGGCAGGGGAAGGTTCCTGCGCGCCTCCAGGCTTTTTCCTCTGCAAGATTGGGCAACCATGCTCCTTGTAGCTGCCGCTGTGCCCCCCGCGCACGTCATGCTTCTCTGGCCAGTCCGGAGTGAATGGCCCACTCTTGGAGACGCTGGAGAGAGTGCTCATGGACCCATAACGAGGGATCCTCGGGGCAGGCCTCAAGGCATGCGTTGCGATAGAGATCGTCCTGAGGGAAGTTCCACAGCTGAACGCGCCACGCGGCCACGTCGATGACGGCGGGGCCGTGGCCCGAGGCACACATACCCCGGCTCGGCCGCCGCCACGCCTGCGGTTCACCAGACGTCGGCTCCGAGGAATGCTAGGGCCCACGAGTCGCAGGCTCGGTTCAGAAGCTGGTCTGGTCTTCAACATAAAACCCAAGATCCACCAGCCAAACCTTCCACAACTGACTCGAAACTCCCCAGGGCCACCCCCAGTGCCTAGGGTGATTTCGCCTGCCCGACTGTCTACTTCCTTACTGGCTGCCCCTAGGCGCTGGAGAGGATGCCGTGCAAGACGAGATCGCTGCGCCACGGCAGCCCCAGCCACCTAGCCACCGATGCTGCGTGACCCATCCCACGTCAACTCGCCTTTGCCCCACGAGGCCTAGCTGCAGGGCCTGCCATTGCGGTGGTTGCGTGTCGTGTCCAGCACAAATACCATTGCCGCGTGCTTGGTCGGTGTTGTGTGAGGCGTCGCCTTGTACTTCCACGCCCTCGCCGCCATCACCTCGAGGGCCGCCTGTGCCCCTCCTGGAAACGATTCTGGGAGTACTGGGTCGTCGGCGTGCAAAGTGGCCGCCCACCAACATAGGGCCAGGCGGTCCATAACTCGCAGCGCCGGCGCCTCCAGGTCTGGGTCCGCGAGGAGCGCCAGGGAGGGCAGCAACCCCGCCTCCCGGATGGCCGCTTCCAGGGGCGCGGAAAGACCAGGACGTGTCGTGCCCTCGCACTGCCCAGGCATGCCACCGCCATGCATCGGGAACCTTCACACCGACGCCGAGACCCAGCCAGGCCTGCGGCCAATCCTTCCAGCGTCAAACCTTTGCTGTGTAGGCCAGGCAGGTCAGCGGGCCGACGGTGCCGCCCTGCGGAACACCTTGGAACGTTTCCGTCGCAGCGCGGCAGAGGCAATCCGCACGCGCGCTCGGCAAGCCGGGTGACGGCATTGCGAATTGCCCGGATCCACGAGGCAAAGGAGAAGAGGAGAGGAGCGGCTGCGGGAGCACCTCGGAACACTCGAACCCCAGTTGTGATCGATGTGAGCGAAATCATCAGTCATAATGCTGCGCAGGAGACCGAAACCCACGTCGCGAACGCCAGCAAGGACGTGCACGGAAAGGCTTTCTGCAGGTCTCCGAAGATGGCGACCAGGACTCTCCCGTCTCGGATCACTGCGGCCGCAAGCTCGTGCAGGAGGACATGACCATCATCCACATCACGTATGTGCCAACTCTGCCCAGGCGTGAGGGGGGGAGGGGAGGAGGAAGAGGAGGGAGCTGTCTTGGAGCGGTCTTGGACCGTCTTGGAGCCCTCTTGGCACCCTCTTGGGCCGGTCTGGAAGACCTATGGACCCTTTTGAGCGAGCAGATGCCCGAAAACAAAAGAGCACTGACATCATGCGAAACCTATTGAAACCAACACTTTTTGTCTCTGGAGGCCTTCTTGGACGCTCTCTTCGGGCTCTCGTGGGCCATCTGTTAGGCTTCCGAGGCCGTCCTGATGATAAAGGTGGCCGTCTTGGGGCCCTCTTGGGTCGTCTCGGAGTTTGGGGGGCCGTCCTGAAGCCCAGGAGAGGGAGAGCAAAAGGCCAAGTACTGAAATCAGGGCTCCTCGGGGCCCTGGAGACCCCCTCCCCATGTATCATTGAATATTAGCCAGCGTGATGTGTTGTGCAATCTATGTGGAGCAGTCTATGCGGTGCAAATCAATCACTTGCTCAACTTGAAGCTGTCCTCTCCACTGCTCGCGCAAACATCCCACCCTCCCACCCGCAACTTGGTTTGCAAAACCTCTTAAGACCGACTACGACGACACCGACGACAACGACGACGACGACGACACCGACGACGAGACGCCGACGACTTCGACGACGACAACGACGCCGACGACGACGAAGACGACGACGACGACGACAACGAAGGCGACGACGAGGGAGGAGGAAGGACGACGACGGCGACAACGACGACAACGACGACAACGACGAGGGAGGAGGGAGGACGGCGACGACGCGAACGACGACGAAGGAGAAAGGACGGCGACGCCGACGACGACAACGATGAGGGAGGAGGGAAGACGACGACGACAACGACGACGACGACGACGGTGACGAAATAATACCGACGACGAGACGCCGACGACGGACGACGACGACGACGTGGGAGGAGGAGGACGGACGACCACGGCGACAACGAAAACGACCACGACGCCGAAGAGGACGACGACGACGAACACGAGAAAAGACAGAGGACGACGTAGGCGACGACGACGACGACGCGGGAGGAGGGAGGACGGCGACGACGACGACGACGACGACGACGACGATGCAAGAGCGCGCGCGCGCACGCTTTTGTTGAAAATCCGTGTTGCGAAACCTTGGGCTTTTGTAGGTTTTTTGGACGCACGATGTTGAAATCCTTCCGAAACCGATGGGTTTTGAAGGTTTTCGGCATACGCCCGCGACGACGCGCGCGTCTGCACTTCGTCCCATTTTTTGCAGAGGATCCTCGCGACGGCACACGCGCAGGGGCGTTCGACAGATTTCGACATGCGCGCGCGCGAAGCCCGATCGGGAGCATTTTGTGAAAATCTTGAAAAACCTATGGTTTTCTTGAGATTTCGCAAGAGCTCGCGCGGAAGCTTTTTTAGCAAATCAGTGTTGCGAAACCCTGTGTTTTGTATGTTGTTTGGAAAATCGATTGCGAAATCCTTCCGGCACCGAGGGATTTTGAAGGATTTCGGCATGCGCGCGCAACGACGCGCGCGTGTGCACTTCGTCCCATTTTGTGCAAGGGAGTCGCGAAAAAGCGTTATGGTAGAACACAAAATGTCACCGCATAGTGTTTTTTTACCAGGGAACCTCAGGGGGGGAAACCGGTTTGGCTGGAAAGATATGATTTCATATTTAGGATGGACGAGTGGTCAGAATCATATATGATTTACATACCCGAAAGAGAAACGGAGAAGTCCGGGGGGGGTAGAGTCAATTCTCCTTTAAGAAAGGAGAACTATGTTGTGTAATCTATGTTGTGCAACGTGTAATATGCAGAGAAAGTTGTGCATTCTACGAGGTACACTATATATATGGTGCTATCAATGTGGTGCGATATATGTTGTACAATATGTGGTGTGCAATGTTGTTGCACACTCTATGAGGTGCGATCTACGTGGTGCACTATATGTGAAGCCATCAAGGTGGCGCAATACATGCTGTGCAAGATATGCGGTTATGAAAAGATTCGTTCTCCAATATCTGTGGTGCAATCCGCGTTGTGTAATGTTTGTGGTGTGATTTATGTGAGCGCTCGAAGCGCGCCGCAGGCACGATTTGTTTTGTCGTGCAGTCTAGTTGGCGCAAGCTAATGGCGGCGACGGGAGGCGACGAGGGGGCGACGGGGCGGCGACAGCGACCACATAGCCGCCAGACCGAAGACACGACCCAGAAGACGGACGGCGACGGGGCGGCGACGGCGGCCACATAGCCGCCAGACGGAAGACACGGCCGAGTTCCTTAGAACAGAAGCACCGTCTGGGATTTCTTAATGCATATAAACTGGCATACACACGTACATCTGCAAATGCATGTCCATAAACATACACATATACATACACATAAACATACACATATACATATACATGGGTACATAGACATACACATATACAGATGTACATGCATGTATACATACACATACATGTATACATGCATGCCCAAAATATTCATACGCATAAGCATGCAAATATACCTATGCATAGACATAGACATATAGGTGTACATGCACATGCACAAACAAATATACGTACGCAAGCACACATACACATTGATATGCAATGTTTAGATGTGTTTATCAATGCATATATACATATGGATATATACATATACAGATACACAAGCAAATATATGCACATATAGATGTATATATGTACATAAACACATACATGGACGTATACATCTGCAGACGCAGACACATATACCTATACATATACATAGTCATAAACAAATAGATACATAGCTACCCATTAATGCACCTACAGACACGCATACATAGACCTACCCCTACACATGTGCACAGACACATGCATATGCACAATCATATGCATGTACAAATACATACAGCTATATTCACGCATACACACCTACATCTATACACATGCATATGTACGTACACATTGACGTTCACATTAACAGATACATATACCTGAACATATACAGTAACAAATGTATATACACACATCTGCACATGACAGCACATATACCCATACACATACGTATACGCTTGCATATACATATGCATACCCAAATAAAAATGTGTACATCTATATAGATATGTACAAGTGCGTGTATGTATATATATATGTTTACCTACACATGCGAAAATACCCCTACATGCACCTACATGTTTACATACACGTACACAGTAAAATACACATGTACACATACATATATATATATATATATATATCTGTATATACATACGCCTATACATAGCAAGGTGTTTCTCTCCATTACATATAGGCATATATGTGTGTGCATACAGATATACATCTACGTATTCAACTACATATACATATACTTATACCTATACATGTGCATATGAATGTACTGATACATATGCACATACGTAGACATGAGTTTGTACAGATGCATTTACAGACACAAATACACATACATATAAATACAACTAGACGACCTAGATATAGACATGTAGATAGCTATAGATATGCAGATACGCTCACGTGTACATGTTGGCATACCTATGTATATCATGAACATATATGTGTGCCGCTCCTGATACATATACATATACATGTCATTACACATGCACGTATATATACAAATGTAAATGCAAGTACATAGACATATACACATGCATTCAAATTCACATACATATATAATTACATTGACAGGTGCATGTATATGTACATATGCAAGTACATATACCCATACACATACACATACACATACATATACATATACATATACGTATATCTAGATATACATGCATATTTGTATACATCTAGAGTTACATGGATGCATATGCGTGTGAAGTTACGTTTCCACCTTACCTTTGGCGCGGCGCTGGACCCTCGAACCTCGAACCTCCAACCTCTTTGTGTTGTAAGTGTTTGGCCGGACTCTGAGCGACGGGGCTCGCAGCGTCCATGAACCTCGCTCCTATTCTTTCCTCATGCTCCTCCTCCTTCCTCCCTCCCCCCTCCTCCCTCCTCCTCCTCCTCGCGCCTCCTCGTTCTCCCCTCCTCCCTCCCTTCGTCCCTCATTCCCCTCCTCCTCACTCTCGGCCCCACTTTGTTTGTAGGTGGTAATCGTGATTCGGACATTTCTCTGCTGCCCGCGTCCTCCGTGGCGCTGTTGGTAGCCGACTGCCACGATGTCCTCCAGAGCGGGGGGGTCATTTTGTGAACCTCTGTCCCAGCCGCGTGGCCGATATCACGGACTGTAGCACAGCTGGCATCTAGGCCCCAGTGACAAGCACCAGTACCTCTGGTACTTTTTTGGCGGCACTGGCAGGCGTGGACCACCCGCTCGCCACACTCTTGAACTTCGGCCTCTGGCCCCCCTCTTCACTGCTGGTAGGTCCTCGTGACTGGGCCACCTCTGAGTATGTTTATCAGATCCACATCCCCAGCGGCGTGGCCTGGGCCCCACTGCCCGATTTACCCTAGATGGGGATATAGGTCGTTCCCTTCGGGTTTCGAGGGGTGTATCCCCAACTGGGGTGGTAATTTGGTGGGGGTCTCGAAGGGGATGGGGATGGGGATGGGGATCGTTTTAACAATACTGACGGCCACCTCCCCCTCCAGGAGGAGCAGCAGCAGCCACCGAGGGAGCGGCGCCCTCGGCGGCCGACCGACGGGGCCCACCGAGAGAGGAGGGCGGGCACCGGGCCTCGAGGCGCACGAGGCGCCGGGAGCTCAGGGGCACCGACAACGCGCAGTCGTACTTCTCGGCCTCGGGGAGGTCGACGACGACGGCGGGCCCCAGCAGGATACACCAGCACCACCTCCATTCCCCCATCCCTCCTCTTCCTCTCCTCTTCCTCTCCTCTTTCCTGGGAGAGGGAGGGGATGAGGGAGGCGGTGGCGGTGTAAATTGTTGGGCCCCGTGACGACGGCGCCGAGGGGGAGAGTCCGAAGCTTCAGTGTTCGGGCACTCTCGCAGGTTCTGGGTGGTCCTCCAGCCTCGGGGCTCTCTGCAGCAGCTGCGCCTCGCTGGGAGCCCTCCAGGGGTGCCCCGACCGTCCCGCCGCCAGACGCCCGAGCGAGTCGTGGCCCCAGAAGAGCACCGGGGACCCGCGCCTCCCACGCGAGACGCGCAGTGCCATCGGGCTCTTCCACTGCTTGCGGCCCCTGGGTGGGCCACACGCCGAGCCCCGGGGCCGGCAAGAGGCGGCTCGGGAAGGGAGGCAGGCCACGGAGAAAGCGTCGGAGCTTCCAGGGGCCCGCTGTCGAGGAAGACAGAACATCGGATCTTTCGGGGGCGGGGGAGGGAGGACGCAGAACTGGGCAGCAGGGGGGGGGGGCCTGGGGATGACAAGGGGAGGCAGGGGGATGCGGAGTAGGACGAACGAGGAAGCGAATGGAGCAGGACGAGAAGGGAGGATGAGAAGGGCGAATGGATGTTGGCCTCTCTGCTTCACATCATCTTTCTGCACATCTGCACAGTTACACAGATGGAAGGGGGGCGCTTCTCAACATCGAGTTCTCACCTTAGCGCCGCGTATGCTCGTCTTCGAAGTACCCAGCAGCTACACGAATGCAAGGCAAGTCCGCTTTCAAAACGGGTTTCTCTCCTTCGCACTGCGAATTGTCTTCTTGAAAGCTTGCAACAGCTACCAGTGTGGAGGGCGGCTTGTTTTCACATTCAGACTATTGCATGAGCGCCGCGCACATTCGTGTTGAAAGTACGCAAGACGAACAAAGATCGAGGGCGGCTCCTTTTCAAAATGAGGCTCTCGTTTCAAGCGT